GAATCTTCAGAACAATTAAATGAAATTGGATCTTTTCCAACATTTGTTAACGCACCCAATGGCACACTGTTTTGCATACAGTTGCATCTGTTGGAGACAGACGATTTCTTCACATGACAGTATGTTTTTTTTCCATCCATCTTGCATCTGCCCAGCGTTTTGGATCAACTTCATTTGCATCCTGCGTTATATGCAAATGATGCCATGAATGAACATTTGAGCCAAAGCCACACTTCACAAAGTCTTTTAGTAGGTTGCTGCGCTTTCTTATTTTTTTTAATTTTCTTCTTTTTTTACTTTTATACTTTACCTCTGAAAAAGTTAATTTTCTTCTACTTAATTCATCAAAATTGGCCCATTACTTTTTTCAACCCCAGTGGATGATGACATGATGTAAAAATGACCTAAATTGAAAGATGTAAAATCAATCGCGGTTGGGATCTTGATTGATCGTGACTGAGTGAAATTTGGGGGTCTTATTACATGAACAAACTAGGACAGTAGCAACATGGACAAACATCAACCAGGGAGCAACAACAACAGCATAGGAGAAGCAAGATATCCCCCATTAAATTGCCTTATTCGAGAGAATTGTTTGATGTTGTTGGCTACAACAATGACATGTGGTGAATGGATTTTTTTTCTTGTGCCATCCTAAAAAAATCTACTAATGAGTCTAATCTGAAAAAAAAAGAAAAAGCACATAAGAAAAGTGTATTTTTTTCGTTGTGATCATTAGGTAATCTAGCTATTTCTCATGCAGGACACATTGTCACTTCAGTCAGAATTACATTTTGTACATCTTATGACTTAATGCATTTTGTTATTTCATTACATTCATTGTGACACATATTTCAGAATATTTTGTGTCTGACTTGATGTTTACCCCAATTTGGGGCTTTAAATGCGTTCATTTTAAGTTCTGGTGCACAGATGGAAATGATCTTTCTGCAAAATCAGCAGGCATCTCTTTTTGTATGTGGATGTTGAATAATCTAATTGTCTGTAAACTTCATCAAAAAAAATGCTGCCTCTGTCCGCAACAAAATCAAATGTACACAACAAAAGATAATCATGATTATCGTCCCAAAGGACAACATCCGATATTGGCGGCCATTGGCCGGTGTGGCGGGGGGGCCAGCTTCCTGGGCCTTGTTAACAAGCTCCATATCTGTGACACACCTCCCCGATAAGCAGCGTGTGAAAAAGCCAGACAAAACAGGCCCGAGCAACAAAAAGTCAAAGAAAAACAAGGGAGTGGACTTTGCGCGCAATCCACTGAATTGGCTGAATTGAAGCGCGCACTCACCAAATGGCCGTTCCACACTGGAGCCCACTTGCGTGTTTACGTTGACCATGTCCTCCTCCTCCGAGGCGTCCTTGTGTTCAATTCTCGTTTTCCTGCCAGCTTGAGGTGTGAAATGTGAAAGTTTGGCGGCGGGAAGGCGGCCGTGTGAGAAGGGTGTTGGTGGAAGGTAAGGCCGGTGTGGCCGCTGTTATCTTATTGATTTTCCTAATCTGGGCAAATGTGGGTGGGGAGGTTAAACAGTAACCAGGCTCGTATGGACACCGATCTATATAGCGGCTGTAACTATGGCAACATGATGATAGAAACTCAAATAGACATCAAGTTATGATGTGCTTGCCGTTCTTTCCCTTCACTGCACAACATCGCAAATTGGTAGGCGAATAACATAGTTGCTCAAGTCGCTTTAAACTCACTGTCACAGTATCAGTAAAAAAATAAACAAATAATAATTAAAATTGTTGTCTGTTTTTTTTTTTGGTCTGTTGTTTTGTTGTTGTTGTCCAAGCATGTTAAAAGTGATTTATTATGCTGTTAACAATGAAAGGTTCATTGAGAGAGAGTGTTTACACAGTGGAAGAGTGAAAGGGTGGTTAAGCAAGCTAAGATTGACTATCCAGAATCAACATTGTAGATATCAGTAAGGTCTTTCTGACTAGTTGTAATTATATTTTGAGTAGTCTGACTTTTCATTCAAGATATCCATCCATCCATTTTCTGATCCACTTATCCTCACAAGGGTTGCGGGGCGTGCTGCAGCCTATCCCAGCTGTCTTCGGGCAGTAGGCAGGGGACACACTGAACTGGTTGCCAGCCTATCGCAGTCATTAAAATATCTGTAATGTAATTGTGACGAGCCAGAAAGACAGACAGCATTCTGTCACTTGTGCCTAGTCCAAACTGCATTACAGATATTTGCAATTATTTTGCCCGGGAGTTGCTGCTGGTGGTGCTGGTACACTCACCTGACTTGTGTGCAGACAGTGTGGGATCGTTTCTCACTCAGTGACTCTGTGGATGTGGGTGTGAATGGTTCGTCTCTCTATGAGCCCTGCAACCGACTGGTGACCAGTTCAAGTTGCAGTCTGCCTTCCACCCTAAATCGGATTTTTTTTTTTTTTTTAATTACTGTTTAGGCCTGTGTTAGTCAAACTGGAGTCTGGAAGCTGTAACATGGGGTGGGGTTGGGGGAGGGGGGGTCTGCAAAATAATTTGGCATAAAGAATGTATCTTTTTTTTTTTCCGAATGACTTTGCCATTCCATTCCATGTCAGGGCCATTTATATTGAATAGTGATATAGAAAAATGCAGTGTGTAAGGGCCTAAAATTACTTGGTTGACGGTATATTATTTTTCGTGGCCAGCCAAAGCAAATTTGTTTGTCAATGATCCTTGTTAAATTTGTACAAAAATTTCCAATTTTCATGAGTGATGAATAATTACATTGAGGTTTTGTAAGAATTGTTCTTACTTGAACTTTAATTTACCAAACTTTTATCCTTGAATTCTGATTTCACAACTAGTAATCCATCAATTTGTTATGTATTTGTAATAATACCGAAACACAATTAAACATTTTCTTGGTCTCACCATCGTAACAGCCCCTTTAAGGGAAGCCGCAAAGTTCTACAAAATAGCCTTCAACAAAATTAGTTTGACAGTCCTGAGCTAGTAAATGTAGCTGAGCAAAAGGTTTATTTTTATTGAGCGTTGTTCCTGCTTGATTAGGAGTGTGATGGGGATTGTTCTGGATATGTACAAATTTTATTTCATGAATCCTTGACTGTGGATGAAATAATAAAGAATGACACACGCACGAATGCACAGCCACCTCTGGCCACCCGTAACTGAGGTGTTGTGTCACCGTGGCCACCCCACTGAAAAAAATTCTGGCTACGCCCCTGTCCACAGAATGAGTGCTGGTTGAGAAAAAAAAGTACATTTTATGAAAGCAACAAAGGTGAAATTGATTACATTCATCTTATTTATTTGTTCCTATCTGGAATTTATACCTTCCAATGAATGTGCGAAGACAAGTGTTTTAGTTGGCTTCTATGCCCAGATGTTGTCCTGTTAAAAACACGAATGTCCATTCAAATTTTGTTTTTTATGTTAATGGACTGTCCACGGTTCATACATCCCATGAACGTAAAACTTTTTATAATGACATAAATTGACATGAACGAGGGCTGATTGGTGGACAGACATAGGCTCCCCTGATTGGTGACATCAGAGGCTCAACGCCTTGAAGAGCAGATGTGTGATGGCACCGAGGAGGGGACTTTCTCTTCCTATCTGTTTGGAACCCTTGTGCTTTGTGGATGACAGAGAAGTCAACTTCCATTTGTGTTTCAATGTTTTCTCCTGTTTCTGTTGCGAGGAAGGGGTTTTGGTTTCATTAATATTGAAATATGTTTACTTTCCCACAGAGAAATGTTTTGCTCGCTGTTTTGGCCTTGATTAACCCAGAAGTCCTTTTGTTAAAGGTATGGGTTGCTGGAAAACTCAAATTGTTAATAAATAAGTCATTTTCAGTGCAAGTGATCCCATGATTCCTTTATTCCTAGAACAATGTGAACTGGAGTGACTGATGCACTTCTTTAACACCAAGATTCAGATATCCAGAAGATCACTACTTTTGTATAGCTGTCCACTGTAGTGACTGGCGTGGAACTTTGACGTAGTGTGACAAATCTAGAAAAACACTGCTTTTCTATAGCTGTAATGACTGATGCACAACTTTGAATTCAAGACTCACACACCAAGAAAAACCCAGATTTTCCATAACATACCACTGTAGTGTTGTTGTCTTTTATAATAACTGCTATGTGAAGGACTCCATGTTGCTTTTGAAGTATAAAGGGTGTTTTAAACTGAAGTACAGTATTAATTGGTCGATTGACATACTGTATGTTGTCAGCAGCATTAAAAAAAAAATCATGCTTGTGACTCTGCGTAGTGGATATGAGGTGCCACTGATTGCCTTATCCAACATTTTTGGCCATAAAAACGTCATCAGGCTCCGGTTTATGGCAGAGAAAGTCTCAGAGGGATGAACAGAGAGACGCAGTGAACTGAACGAAAATATACGCTTCACAAACAGCGAGTGACACTCACATCTTTGTATTTGCATCTACACCATTGCTGTTGGCAATCGATCTTTCTCTAACTCACCCAATTGGCCCCATATGTGTGGGGGGGCATCTTGCCCACAAAGTCACACTTTTACTGTTTCACATCTTGCCAAAATGTTATTTGGTCTTTTTTGTTCAAACTAATTGGTCACCCTACAATAGACTTGTATTGATATTTAAAACAGGGCTTATGCTTAAAAAAAAAAAAAAAGGTTAAATCGTAGTATCGAAATATTACATAAATTTACCTCAAAATCGTTATGTATTTGGATCCCTTCCGCCGACCAGTAAAATAATGTGAATGCTAAATGAGTAAGGCCACCGGACCTAAAAGACGGGGCTGAAATTCAAATTGGCTCTACCTAGTGGTAATGAAAGGAATGATAGCGGGACTCTTGTCCCCAAATGAACAACAAACAATAAAAATGTTTTTTTTCCTGAACTGAACAAGATAATGCTTGACAGGCCAATGCTTATGTATAATGTGAAAAGAAAGGAGGTAATTAAAAAAACAAACAAACAAACAAACAAAAGAAAAAGAATTTGGTTCCATTTGGGGTGGAAATGAGGCGTTTGACAGATACTTAAGGGACAGCCCTAAAGGGCGGGTCTAACGCGAACGAGTTATTTCCTGGTCACCAACTACAACACGCGAAGGTAAAGTTTAAAACACAACAAATCTGCAAGAGTTAGCCACGCTTTATACGATTTGCATGCATTTTATCCTGCTGACTTATCACCATCCGCTCGCCATTACTGCTACTCAGCGATCGATTTCACTTTGACACTTTTGAGCCGCCAGTCCATAACGTTAGCAAACCAGCTAGCAGGCGAATAATCTGTAACGCATTTAGAACGAGGTAGAGTAGTTTATTTTGTCCTTACATTCACGTCTCACTCATGCTATAACACACTTAACCCATTTGCCTACTCCATGTTTTAGTTGATAATTTTCTTTAATTCTTGTATTCGGGTCCTTCACATAGAGAGTGCATTTTTTTGCTACCTACAATGCTCTGACGGGCGGAGTAGAATGCCAGTTTATGAAAAACAACGCTATCTTGTTAAAGTGATACTTCGTGACTCACCCTATACGTAAAATAAATAAGTGTACAGGTACAAATATCCATTATTTGAAATTAATAAGAATTTTTGGGGAAAACGTTTGTGCTCAAGGACTAGGTTAAGATTTGAAAACTGAGTGATCATTTGGCGATGAGATTTAAAGAGTTGTTAAAATGTGTCGAAAAATGTTTTATTTGAATGAAATAGTCGAAAACATATATTCAATACACTAACTAGTAATGTAGTACAAAACCTAAAATTATGCGATATTGTATATTTTACTCATGCACAATATTTTTCTGTTAAATACATTAATCTTTTATTTAATTTAATCTAGAAATTGTATACAGAAAAAGGTTTTCTATCTATCTATCTATCTATTTATCTATCTATCGAGGGAGAGAGAAGGGGAGAGAGAGAATGAGAGGGATAGAGAGAGAGAGCCAATAGATGTTAATTTTAGTATATTTTAATGGTCTTATTAACTATAACGGATAAACAAATAAGAGCATTTTTATCTTTTTAGAAGCTGTACGTACTTTTTAATCTGACTGTTATTTAATTCTTAAAACAAAATGAGTATTGAATTCAGAAGTAAAATATTAAATGCCTATGAAAGTTGTTCATTGTAGTAATATTGATATTTTATTATTTATATTAAATCAATTAAACAATGAATTAGATCAATTAATAGAACAATTCTGAATAACCTTTTAATGACCAGTTTAAGAGGGTAAAAAAAAAAACCCACATCTGAATTCGTACAATATATATGACAGATTTGTTGAAAGAGAGATCCACACTTTGCCCTCCTTTGAATGAAATATTTGATCTCCATACAATGTGTTGATTGCAGTACAGTCATGTTGAGAACAGCCACATCTTCTCTCATTGTTGCTGTGGTTTGTTGTCCCAGATGAACGTGGGCGTGGCTCACAGCGAGGTCAACCCCAACACGCAGGTGATGAACAGTCGCGGCATCTGGCTGGCTTACCTGCTGCTGACCGTCGTGCTGCATGTGGTCCTGCTCAGCATTCCTTTCTTCAGCGTGCCGCTCGTCTGGACGCTCACCAACGTCGTACACAACCTGGTCAGTTACGCTCCCAGCTTTACACTCTTACAATTTTACTTGCCATGAGCCAGTACACACATGAAGATTTTGCAAAGCTTAAAAGATTGTTTATCTGTCCACACGTGAAGATATTTAAAAAAAAGAATCAAGGCATTTAACAGTATAACACACATTAAGATAAGCATATGAATACAGTAATCCCTCGCTATAACGCGTTCACCTTCCGCGGCTTCGCTGTTTCACAGATTTTTTTTGTGCTTTTTTGAAAATTATTTTTTTAAATACAGTGAATTGTGTTCTGCATCCTGATTGGCGAAGGGACTGACCAACGTGAACAGTCTCCGCACCTCGTCTCTGTACAGCTTGCCAAATTTACCTTTGCAAATTTTTGGTCTTTGGTTTCATTGTATCAGTGGCGGATGCTGGTCTGTCAAGGAGGGGAAGCTCATTTTCGACCTACATCATAAAATGTGTCCGTTTATTTATACGTGAATTCTACTCTTCGTGCCTTTTCAAAAAAAATGAAAAGGATGGCTTCACCATAAGATCGGTGATTGGCTCATTTCGCTGTCAATCAAAAAGAGATTCAGCCTCAGGCAGATCATCCAATCATCATGCAGAAAAGCTGAGTTTCCGGGCCAGCCTATAAACGCCCACTGTCCATAGTCTCCCAGAGACGCTGAGCGTCCAATGGTCGGGACAAAACCACCATTTATCCAATGACTTGTCTCGTTTCAATGCATAGGGACAACCTACACTGAACTCTCCAGATGCCCAGCGTCCGCGCAGTCGACGCTCAGCGTCCACACAGTTTAAAGCACAGTGAAGCTGCGGGAATGAATGAGAAGAGAGTCGCGTCGTAACCAGTCATAAGAAGCTGATTCGGAACAAAAGTTGAGCGCGTTGTAGCGCATATTTAGTCAATGACATGTACACACAATTGTACGTCCACACATACAGGTATATTTGATCACTTACTTTTTGACATTTTAGGGGAAGCTGAGCTTCCCTTGCGGTCTTAGAGCAATCGCCTCTGCAGTGTATACATAGTCCAGTATTGTATAATAACTGTAAAAAATTAAGCTGACTATCAAGTATCAAGTACTGTACAACTTTATTGTCAAATGTGCTGTATGTTTCACATACAGCACATTTGAAATTTCTTCCCTCTCACATTGTTTGGTTTTTTTTTAAAAAATAAATCCTACTTCACGGATTCCACTTATCACGGGTTTTTTTTGGTGATAAACGAGGGATTACTGTCCACAGTTTGATGTCATAAGATATCCGTGCAAAATAATACAAATCAAAATCATAACAATTCACCAGATTTAGTTTCGGAAGTAGAACATGTGTTTGGGAGATTTTATGGTTAATGTATTTTTTTTTTTGTTTTTTCACAATAAGACATTTGTACCATTTGCAACAAAATTTTTGCCGACGTTGTCACAGATGTCATGGATCAAACTCGTAACTGATACAAATCATATTCTCCGTTGCCATTTGGGAATTTTCTGCCGTGACAATTTGAAATAATGTCCTGTTTTTTTAATAAAGAGATGGAAGGTACAACAAAATTTGATTCATTGATTACCGACAAAATAATTGAAACAATCACTCATTCCGCGCAAACGTGACCTTGTGTGGCTGGTGATACTCAAGGACTTGGCTCACAGGCGCCAGCGTTAGAGCACCAGAGAGCCGTCGTAGATTCCAGACGGCGTTTGCTCTGGCTCGCTCTGGTTTTGGCACAGGCTGGATGAATCTTCCTCGTTGTCCGTGTCGAAAAAGTCCTTCCAGTCGTATTCCTGCGCGTGCACCGATTGATTGATTACCGACAAAATAATTGAAACAATCACTTATTAAAATAATCGCGAGTTGCAGCCCTAGTCCAATAAAAATTGAACTGGGGCCTCCGACAATATAGAGAGAAGTACTACCCGTTCCAAAAAGCAGTCTGAGCAAAACACTTTCAGGCTTCTGTTGGGGAAAAAAAAACAAAAAACTAAGGACAAGCCAAGTAGATCAACTTTGAAATGATTTATCTTGGGCTTATGTTCTATTACATCACAAAACCTGGCTTTTGAACAATGGTGTGTAGATTTTTTTTATATCTACGAAAGCAGACAATTTCTCACATGTTGGCACTTTTGACCTGAGGTATGTGCTTGCAGGAACTCGTTATTTTGCTGAGGTTGCCTATCCTTCACTTGTGCAACTCACCATGACAAATGATTTGAAATTATTGATCATTTCAAACGTTAGCTGATTTTAAGACTTATGTTACGATACATGCTGCCTTTTACACATACAGTACTTGGTTGGTCGTTCTGTGATATCCCAAAATGTCATCTGAGAGAGAGGATAGAAAAGGTATCAATGTCAAGTTAGTGAGCGACTTTTTGTATTTTTCTTCTTTTTTGGGGGGCGGGGGGCGCCAAACGCAGGCGATGTACCTGTTCCTGCACACAGTGAAGGGAACGCCCTTCGAGACGCCCGATCAGGGCAAAGCCCGCCTGCTCACGCACTGGGAACAGATGGACTACGGCATCCAGTTCACCGCCTCACGCAAATTCCTCACCATCTCACCCATTGTGCTGTAAGTATGCACCGCTCACCTTCTCACAAAGGCCCGGTTTGGAAAAAGACGGAATATTGCGATCATAAATTATGAGGG